AAAATATTTGTGCCTTTATTATTTTCATGGTGTATAATTAAGCTCCAGTTGTCAAAGGCATATTCCAGAAATGTCATATGCCATAATTGTTTTGCCCTGTTTTCAATATGTGACATTTTTGAAAACTCTGGTACTGTATATTACAAGAATGTATTTCTGGATTCAGTCATGACATCGTTTTCCTACAGTGCTCAATTACTGTTACAACATAGATGAATTAATAAGGTTACGTTTTATCAGCATCTGCAAGTTGTTACAAAACTGTTTTGAGTTGTTTTATAATCTTATTGGTTTCATGGCATATGATATTTATATACATAATTAGTTTGAAATTAAAAATCAGGTCTGTTGTGTTATACATTGTAATTTAATTACATGTATATTCACATTGCATTCAAAATACACTTTTGATTCAAGTAGTTGCCTTGTAGTTACACCTGCAGTTAGTTTTTGTGATTGTGTGAGTTTCTTTCTTCCTCTGGATCCTTTCCATATCTCATTATGTACATTGGCAGTTCAAGAAATTTCCATGTATAATATTAACCCTACAAAAAATCATTTTTTAATATGCCAATATAAAATGATATATCCTTTTACTCCCACTTAGCACTGTATAATCCAAATTCTGTTTGAACTTTCTTGAATTGTTTATGTTTTATACAGGTCAGTGGATGTAAAGTCTGCATTCCTTTCCTTTTTAGCTTCTTGTCATCTCTTTCCTCTCATCTTGATGTCTTCTACTACCTTGCTGAACCACATTGTTCTGGGTCATCCTATGAACCTCTCTCTCCATTAAATTCTAATCTAATATGCTCCTTGTATGCATGTGCTATCGTATTTTCGTGTCCAAACCACTAGTAGGTTCCCTTTTCTTTATATTGATGATGAGGCAGCAAGCATTTCTGAAATATCAGTAAATTTCTACCATTCTACACAGCACATTTCAAAAGACAAGTCATCTGAATTTTTGTGTATTATCTACACGAACATTGGTTTTCAAAGGACTAACAGTGTGAGAGCAGTTACTTTTTTTACAGATATATAAGTATACCTTTACTACTGTGTGCCTAATTTGAGGTTATAGTATCTGTATTCAAGGCTTTTAATCTGAAATGCCATATTGCTGCAAAACATGGAGGATGTTTTGACAATTTATCTTCAAATGCATGAGCAAGAAAAACTGAAGAATTTGTGTAAAAAGCAATGTTTACACCAAGGAACAAAGTGTGGGATGAAGGATAGCTAGTATTTTCCTCGTGATGGATGCCCAAAATCATTAAGCGCGATGATACCATTAGTCATTTTTTCAGCGGATGTGCGTCACTAACCAAACCTATTCACAACTCATACGAATTTAAAAACCAGAAACAGAAATTAATGAAACTTAGCACGGATGTTAAACCATAGGTCACTACCCAAAACTCATACTTTTTAATTTCTTACTCTGTGTAATAAAATGGTGACGGATGCTCAAACTGCTTGGTGGATCACGACAATCCTTTGTTCATGTGTAACACTAACCTAAAATGCCTCTTCACATCACATCCGTCTTACGAGTTTTATAGCTGGAGAATGGCTTAATTGAACATCATTAAATGTTGTATGGATGTTATGCCTTACTGGTAGTATGCTTCCTCACTTTGGTAAACACCAAGAGAGTTGGATGGTTATGTGCATGTACCCGAACGTGAGTAAGAGCGATAAACTGCATATTTTGTTTTTCACAAATACGAAGGTGTGCTGCCAATTTGTTAACAAGGTGTTCGCACCACTAAACTATGTTTTGTTTATCGTTTTTGTTTTGGGACGGGCAACACATCGTTACATGTGTATCGTTTTTTGTAATGGTGTATGGCCTGTACAACCCATATTTTCTGTGCCGGTAATAAAGGACTCGGATAACTAGCCAGAAATTAACAAGGAGCTCCTGCGAGTCTTCTGCCACCTGTAGTACCCCTGATCGAGACCATCGAAAAGTATATCATGACTGTCAGAAGCTGCCAGTGGTATGCACTGTAAACCATTTTCAGACACGTTATGAAATAGTGAGTAGAGGATGTTACTGAAATAGTTTATCCAGTACTGTGCACCACGTGGAAAATATTTATACAATGTCACAGTGTTGTTTCAGTGATGGATGACACTTTTAAAACTATTGTAAAATCATGCAGCAGTGTTTATATAGCAAAAAAAGCAGTCAATCAAAACTTATGTCAGTGGTATTTTCTTTCGGACTAAATACATATTTTGCTAAACATAACCCACAACATTCTGGCAGTATGTTGACTGAACAGTAACAACATTATCATCAATAGTAACTTTAATTTTATTTTTAGAGTAACAATACATTGCAAGTTGTCTATAGTCCTCAAAATTATGTTTATTTTCTGTTCATTCTGTCTCAAAAGTTACATATTAACATACATATCCATTATTTGAACTCTTCGTAATAATGTTATGATAAAGATTTCAACCATTACAAGAAATTTATTTTAAAATTCTGTATCATTATTGTTATCATCAGAAGCCCCATTTACGGAAACTAAGTACAGCTGATATTTTATCATCTAGGTGTCAAGAATCAAGTCTACCATTTAGGTTATACCAAACATACAGGTTGCACAGTAATATGCACTGTATAATGTATCCTGGATTCCACCAACAAGTATTATAACATGGGATTTGAGGTTTTCATGGCATTGAGTCTACTGTGTTGTTGCACCATGTAGTCTGAAATTTACCAGACTACATGGTGCTCCAACCTCGAGTTAGGTTGGGTAACCTGGTAACCTCGAGTATTATAATCACCATCTGTACAGGACATTAATCAAACTAATCTTGTTTATTTTAATTTGAAACATAACTTATAAAATTGTATAGAAAGATTATATTTGTCGTTAACAATGGTTTTAAATACTTTATTGGTGGAAACTATTACAATGGTAACATCATTTTTGTGATATAAAACTTGAAAAATACAATGACCTGAAATAACATCTCTTGGAAGTAAAGCATTAAGTTCCATATGTAAGGTATATGTGTTTACTTGTTCATTATATGAGGAAAATTATTTTGGATTGTAAAATACATATACTTAGAACATAAAAGAACCTTTCTCTGAAATTGGATGAAGTACATATTTATTTATTTATTTAGCAATAAACATGAAATAATGAGATTTTTTGGCAGTTGTGCTGGGCCATAGCCTTTCTGCTGTGTGTGAACACTGCATTAGTTGCCACATTTCCTGCTTGGCTGCAGCAACATCATAGAGTGAAGTCACATACGCACCATACTAAAGGTGTTAAAAATGTTTCCCATTGGCTGGGATACGTTTTCACACCTACTCAGATAGTGGCTCCCATACTGCTTCTGTTATTTGGATATACAGGGCACTTCAAAAAGAAGAATGTTTTATTTGTGTTCATTTTCTGTTTGTGGGTTGACTGAGTATACTTTAGTTTTAGATATTCTTTACACTTTTACTGTGAGCAAAAAATGCCTTATAAACCCATCCATGTATGTCTGTCTGTCTATCTATTTGTTGCTTTCTTTACTAGGATCTTAGTAGCCCCCATGACCTGAGGTCATTGTTGTATCACATTGTTGCAACAGTTTTAGCAAAGGACATTAATGGGACAATGAACTGGCTACTGGGGGTAATTGATGAAACAATGCAAACTTATATTGTTGGTATGGATTGTCATAACAGTTTCAACAGAGATTATTGTTTTAACACATTGTCACCATGTTGACCTTGGATAACTTTGAATTCATTGTTAATTTTTTTATTTCCTTGCTGACATCAATTCCCATGATGTGACAAGAGAACACTCCATTGTACTCCAAAATGTATACCACTCCAGTCCCATTAAATATACCCACATTCTGAAGATGTCAGTTTCAGAAATTAAGTTTAGATAGTGGATTATGTGGATGCAAAGAGTGTACCTGTCTTTTGGAGAGGTCATAGTTCGAGTAATTCTGTAGCAGCCTTATGGTCCTTTGTGATACTCCTTGAAAGGCACTGAAGAGGCTTGCAGGGTGAATGTTCAAGCCAGACTATGATATCTAGTTTTCATTCTGTTAATACTCAATGCTGATGTTTGGTTTCCAGTTAGTTAACATGCCAGCTTTTCTTATTTTATTGACACAATTCCAAATAGTGTTTCTGTAGGGAACTTGAACCCAGGAAAGATTTCTTCTGAATTTCCTTAGACACTTACTAGTAGAGTTACATTTCACATAAGATTCATATAAAGGCACCTGATGTTTTAATGTAAATTTATCCATATCCTACACAAAGGGATTCTTGCATAATACGAAGTCATGTATGTATATTTTCACTTTTTAATTACTGCTGCTGACTCATCTGAGTAACCTTCACACACCTTTGCAGCGACAGAACAGGAAAAGTAGAAAGTGATGCAGTGATCTTACATAGGCACAGCTTCCAAAAAAATCTGTCTGTGTTTATTTTATTTCATAACAATGGTTCAGATCTAAATAAATATTTTGTATATGTTCTACAAATATTTGCAAGGAGGATATATTAACTAAGAAAATAAATTATACAAATTTTTTGTGCTTAAAAAGACATGTATTTATTCATGCTTGAATAAAAATGCAAAATACAAGGTAGTTTTTGTATTTGAAAACACAAGTGCAAGGACATGGGTGAAAATTAAAATGTAAATTACCCTCATTTCAGAATTTTTGTACAGTTTAATTAGTTATTTTTCATATTAATAAAACTTTTACGTAATTTAAAATAGTCACTTCTATTACTTAAAGTGGTATACTTAAAAGTTACTTTTCTTTAAGTCTTAAAACACTGTTTCAAACCAGCTTTGACATTATGAAATTTGTGGAATTAAAGTGGGTTTAAAATACATAACTTATGAACACAACTGACTTTAGACTAATATTGTTATTGAGTAAGTTTGCTGTCATAACAATACTGAAAATAAAAGTATTTGGTCATTAAAAGTTCACTTTTATAGTAATAGTAAGATTTGAGTATTGTAATTTTGACAATTCCCTCAATTAACTTTAAAATGCTCTGTTTATATATTTGAGGAATTTTGTAATTTATCCTAATTCCGTGGAGCAGAGTTGAAAACGATTCACTCCATAAGTGAAGAATTTGCTGCCTTTTATGGGACCTGAAGGATCTTCACCAGATTCTTAAAAGCCCCATTATGGATCCTTGTCCTCAACCAGATGACTTCCAGGTCACATCCTCACACCTTATTTCTTGTACATTCATTTTAATGTTACCTTCCCATCTACACATATGTCTTCAAAGTGGTGTTTTCCCTTCAAGTTTCTGGATTAAAATGTTGTATGCATTTTAAATCTTTCCCATATGTGCTGCATGCCCCACCCTTCTTAAATTCCTTGATTTGATGGGCTTAATATTTAAATTTGATTTCAGATCTTTAGATTTAGAAATGTGTATGCTGCACATTGTATCATTTGCTGATATTTGTCTCTTGGGTAGTAAGGCCATGTGGACTTAATGGCTGAAAATGGAGGCAGTATGATTGAAACTTTGGTATCTACCTACAAGTCCACATGGTGTTACTACCCAAAATACCAGCATCAACATCTTCCCCACTGTGAGAACCCCAAATTTCATACTATGTTTCATTTAATAAAGTTGTCATTCTAGACTATGAATAAATAATTCTCTTTCATTTACAGCAGTATTAACCTTCTGCATATTTACAAAAGAAGGAATGCATTTCAACACTGTCAGTGTGATAAATTTTCTTATGTTAACATTAATTTCTAATTAAAAGAGGTTATAGGAGGTTTTTTGTGACTTTAACAAATTATTATAATTAGTATAACTTTGCCTACTTTCATAGTTTGAAATTAAAGTAAGTATTACCTTTTTATTAAATGTTGATATCCTATGACATTGCACTCATGCCAGAAAATACAGATAAAAAGAAGGGAACGAAAGGAAAAGTCCACTATATATGAAGTGCCAACAATATGCGGTTGAAACTCTTTCAGGGATGAAGTTCCACACATCGACAAATACAGGAGTAGACGAGCAACTAGGAGAAAACACATACACATGGGAAAGAGGATGATGTTCAGTAATGAGAGAATTTGGCCATCAAACAACAACTTATTACTTGAGGTATTATTTCAGTGCAATTTCTGTACATGGTTGTTCTGTTTGCTGAGCTGCAGTATGGTTATCAACAGATATTAGGTTTTGAACATCAGTAAATTAATATATAACATATCTCCTGACTTGTTTTATTTAAGGGGAATCTTAAATGCTCATTTGAAAGAAAATAGTACTGTGATTTTTATGATTATTAGTTCAAATTGGTAGCAGATGTGTAAAATGAAACTAGCTTTAGTTATTAACAACTCATTTATATAATTAGCAGGAATAGTAAATTACTGCACTTAAAAGTGTAATTACAGAATTTGCTTTATTTTAAGACATTCTGTGAGATTCTTACTTTCTAATTTTTTGCTTCATAGTTTATTTTCATTTGTATTAACCCTTTTACTGTGGCTAATGGCTGGACTTTAACTTCAGTATTTATATACCTAGTATAAATATTGATTTTCACTTTTAATTTTAAAATACTGAAGGTGTTTTTAATCTATATGCTGTCTC